TAGCCACCATGACCATGACCCCCCATAATCATTGATAACTCTTGTTTGATGAACAAATTATGTCTGGTCAATATACTTTGTGACTAATATGGTTATCTTTTTTTATATAAACAAGGTTTTATTTCATTTGAAATTGGACTGAGGAACAGGCTAGGCTTAAGTTGCAAAAACTTTTTTACAACTTACATAATTAATTAAAATAATGCTGCTTTTTAGTATTTATACCTCAAGTCTCTTTTTAGTTGTCTGTGCCCTTTTCCACCCATTCCCATTAAAATCAGTAACTGAATGTTTCAAAACCCTGTATACCTCAATGACCAGTGGACAACCACCTCCATTAGTTTCCTCCGTTTATATATTTGTACTGGATGTTGGAATGATTATTTTGGAAGGAAGATGTTCTAATAAAAACTAGATTCTATGATATAGTAGTGTTTGTGGGGGAAGATGTTATAATAATACTAGATGATATGATAAGAAACAATATAATAGTTGTATATGTGGGGCTAGAAATTGTAGGAATTTAGATGAACCGACTTGATGTTGGGATAGAAATGGTAGGAATCTAGATGAGATCGATATACCATATATCTGTCTAGAGAATGATATATATTTGATATTTATACCATTCCAATCATAAACTACATGTTATGGAGGAGTGGTTAAAAACATAACCTATAATTATAGACAAACAATTCTATAACTAGAAAAATGCTGATCGGTGTTTCCATTGTATTACACACAACTAATGAAATAAAAAAACAAAACATGTTTAAGCTCATTCCTTTCTCTGTGTTAGGTATTTATTTACAAGTGAAAAAAACGTTTCTGTCATACTTTTAGTTTATGATAACAGACTTACTAGAACACCTGATTCCACTTCTCTTTAAGGGTGTTGGATGGGCGAATGGTTAACGTGGGTGCATTGGATGGAAGGTCTGTGACGTGGTTCCAATTCCTCGCTTGTACGAGACAAGGAGTAGGGTCATCTGGTTTCCTCTCACTGATAAAGAGCCCCCTACACGCAAACGAAGTATTGAAATAAAATTGAATGATATGTTACTCCTGAAATGACCTAGTTTGTGTCAAGTGGAGCTCTTATTGGGGATGTTCTAAAAGCTAACCATTTCTTTTACACTTTCATTTTCCACTTTGTTGGTTTACAAATGAAAAATGAAAAAAAAAACCTCTTACGTTTAGTTAAGTTAATGAAGTTGACTATACTTCCTTCATTATTTCATTAGTAGGTGGAAACTACTGTCCAGGCAAAATTCTCCCCCTTGTCTTGTAGAATTACAAAAACATGTTAGTCTCAAAACAGACTATTACTTACTGACTATATACTAACATATATATATATATATATATTGTATTTGTTTCTTCAACTATAAAAATATATAAATATTGACAATAGATCTATCTTATACGCACCGTTAACTTGACCCTGAATAACCCTTAAAACAGGTGTAACCAGGGACTGTCCTGATTGACTAAACCCTAATACAAGACGATGTACTTGACTGACTTGATAGTAGTGTAAACAAGATATACCTAATACCAGTTGAAATATAATATATTTCCCTATCTGGATGTTAATATGGAATATGTTTTAGTAGCATATATACAAAGTCCTAATTGTAAGTATTTTATATAGATATTGGTTCCTTATTAATCCATCTAGTTCCTATAAGTATTTTATGAAAATACTAGTTCTTTAGTCCCCATGTATATGAAAAATATGATTTCTTAAGTATTTTATATATAAATATTAGTTATTTATGAATCCATGTATATGTTTTTAAAATATTTTATCTATAAATATTAGTTATTTTAAAGAAATATTAGTTTATTTTCATTATTTTCTTATAAATCCAAATATATATGTTGAGTATTTTGTTTTCCTAAGCTATCTGTAAGCCTAATTGTTAACATTCTTATAGTGATATGAGTTCAAACCCCTACTAGTATAGATCTTGGATAACATTATAGATTCTGAGATTTTACACTTTTACATAGAGTTTGATACAGACCATTGGTTCCATGTTGGTGGTATATATGCCTGTCAAGACTGAAACTAGATCTGAAGTGGAATCCCTGATACAGACTATCTGTAAACATTTCTATCATGAATATTTCTGACTGTTGGTGGATACACTATGGCTGTCCTGAGGCTGAAATTTGGGGTATAGGTGTAGCTTAGACCAGGGAGTAACTGGCCCAGTGGCGATGGACTACCTCTTCCGGTTTGGGAGTTAAGCTACTTCCAGTTACTAATTTTATTAAGGAAATCTAGAATATACCTGTTCTTTAATTTTGGATAATGTAATTAAGCATCTGATATTTTGTTAATTAGGAAGTTTTACATCTCTTCATATAGTTTGATAATATAATAAAACTTAATTACTTATTAGAATTTTTTAAGGAATTAACCTGTTTTGTTATGAGAGGGATTGGGTGATTTTAGATCAAACATGGTTTCCTCTAGTCAGTCGTGCAGGACAGAAGGCCTGAAAAGGACAGCTGTCTAATTGTTCTGGTGGGACAGAAAACCGAGGTCCATTGGCAGTTGGAATTTGATATAAGAGTAGGCCTATGTGGCACTGTCTGGGCAAAACTACCCTAATAGCACACTGTATGGTGTATGCCCATCTACATTAGCCCAGTCAGTGCAGAACAGTAGGACGTTAAACCCCATTTCATGTCAAGTGGCATGTTTCGATCCCAAGCTTGTTGGGGATGATGAGTAGGGTTTCCTGCCCAACTTTGTGTTTTTTCTCCAGGTCTTCCAGTCTCTTCCCACTGTTAATAAACACCCCTATGCACAAGTGAATTATTAAAATAAACTGTACCATATGTTAGTCCCAAAATGTCCTAGTTAGTTTCAAGTGGACATTAAACCCCATTTGTCTCTCACTAAAGAAAATAGTACATGTATAAATATATAGTTTGATAATATAACAAACCTAATCAGTTCTTAGCAAAGTTTAAAGGATTAACCTGTTTTGATATGAAAAGAGGTTGCGGGGGGGGGGGGGAGAGTCGTGGACGTTAAATCGTTAAATTTCATTTCTCTACCTCTGTTTTGATATGATTATACTCCATATACAGGTAAAAGGGTTGACCGACATCTTTTAAGATAAAATGTGATCAGACTCTCTTATCCTATGTTTATACCATTGTTTGAAGTTTATTCTATTGTGCTAATGAGGCATTGTAGACAAACCTAAATAACAATAAGGCTAATAAAAGGTGACAATAAGAAAACATGTGTTATCGTAGACTGGACAAGTTGTAAGACCTTGAAGTTTGTTATTTTAGGATGATCCCTTTTAAGTGTGTGTGTGTGTGGAGCTGTGTTTCATGTCCAGGATTCCCCGCAGAGTTGATGTACATTTCTCACAGCTACTTGACTCTCTCCTATTTCGTTTGTGAGGAAATTTATTAAAAAAATATACAGTTGATATTCAAATATTGGCAGACTTTTACCAGACAGTTTTAAGAGTGTTATGTGAATTTTATAGCTGATGTGATTTACATTTTGATTTCTTTAAGCAGCTGGATTAAAAACACAAAATATTTTGGATGCAGACAATTGAAATCAAAAAAAATTTGGCCAAATATATAAGTTATATGTATATTGGATATTAATTTTTATCAACCCATGGATCATTACGAAACTATGTATAATCGTATCTTTTACAAGACCTTTAAATAGTAGTTCCAAGTTGAGTCAGATATTTTCTTTGTGATCTAAACGTGCGTCCATTTTTAGTCTTTAAACAGTAGTTTCATGTGCTTCTTGAACTGAACAATTCTGGTCTGTGTCATTTTTAATTATTTATAAGGAAAGTAAAATCACAAGAAAAGAGAAAATGTACGAAATGAAACGTAGATTTTCGTATGTTGACGTTTTGTTTAAATCCCGAGAGTGGTCTATAGAGCAGCCTATAGGTAATATATCTTGAAAATTCTATTGAGACGGTTAGGTCCTGTCTAGATGTGTGCGCGCACGTTAAAGAACCCTGAACAGTTGGAATCCCATTGCTGTCCGGGTAAAATTTCCCTCATAGCACACAGCATGGCATATGCCCGTCTTCATTAGCCCGGTTGGTGCAAAAGTAGAACTCTGAACCCCCATTTCATTTCTTTTCTAAGAATCAGGGTCACATTAATATTTAAATACATGGACAGTAAGAGAATAATGGTGGCTCATGATCAGTAAGTCAGACATTGGCTTGCTAACCTGTAGGTCCCGTGTGGTTCCCGTGTGTTGTAGGATAGTTGTTTAGATGGGACGAAAAACCAAGGTCCTGTGTACCGATTGGCGTGCACAGAAAAGATCCCTGGGCAGTTGGTATTCAATATAAGAGTAGGCCATAGTGCTGCTGTCCGGGCACAATTTCCCTCATAGCACACACTGTATGGCTTATGCCCATTAACTCATCAGTCAGAGGCGAGCAGTCAAACGTTAAACCCCATTTCATTTCATTTACACGGACAGTGAGAGTGGGTGTATGATGGTATGTATGATATAGACGATAATTATGAGATTTGGAATGGTACCAAGATTTCCACCCAACCAGAATTCCTACCATAGATTATGCTGATTGATTAGTGTATATTGTTTATATATATAATGTATATTCCTTGTACTTAGTACAACCTCTATAACATTAAACTTATTATCAACTTAAAGTGGCTACTAAATTCATATTGAATGACATACCTTATATATCACATGTATTAAGTTGGCTACAAAATATTTAACACATATCATGATATAAATCAGAGGGTTATTAAATGAAACAAAACATTATAAATTGTCAAATCCTGTAATTGAATACCATATTTTTTTGATGTAATATTTTCTTTTAGATATTAGAAAAATTCAAATTTCAGGTTCAGATTCATTGTTTTAATATCCGACCTCCAACTCACTTCCATTAAAAATTAGTTTTGTATACACTAAATTCAAATGTTTATATTTTTTGTCATTACAGATCAGAATCGCAATCGAACTCTTCAGAATACTCCCGGTAGAAGTGCTGGCTATGGAAAACCAACGACCAAAGAACAATCTGGCAGTGTGTCCAACTCGTTTCGATCAACCTCGTCAAAGGAAGTTACGCGACTGGAATCCCTGTGTGAAGTGAGAACGAAAGAGTTAAATATGGTCAAGATAGAATTAAAGTCAACAACGCAAGCTCTAGATGCCATGACGTGTTTAATCAAATATCTAACACAGGAGGTACATATATACGTTAAATTTTGTTTTAATTTTGACAGATTTAGTTGGTTTAGTGGAAACCTCCATGTAGTGAAATGTGTCATCAAATGGGGTTTAACCCGTTCAAGTGCGTAGGTCATTATATAACGTCCTGGACAACTGCCACTCACTGTGTGTAGGGCGTAATATTACGCCTTGGAGGTATTTTCCCCAACCTGTTCTTAGAACATAGTACATAGTTCTTCGTCACTTCGTCAAATTAATAACACTATTGGCGGTAGTTAACGCTTTAAAATCGTCACGCTTAACGGGTTAATGTCTTACTTTTCTGCAACAACTGGGCTTATGAAAACCAGAGGTTGGGAGGCTGAATGGTTTAACACATGCATGTTAGATCATAAGGTCTGTCATAGAGTCAAGTGGCATGGTTTCTAATCCCCGCTTTTATGTGACAAGGCGTAGGGTCGCATGTACAACCTCGTGGGTTTTCTCTCTGTGTCCTCTGGTTTCCTCCCACTGCTAAAAAGCCATACGTGCAAGCGAATTATTGAAATAAAACTGAACCATATGTTAGTCCCAAAATGAACTAGTTTGTGTCACGTGGATGTTAAACCCCATTTCTCTCTCTCGAGTCTCAGCAGTGTGCTATGAAGGAAAATTTTGCCCAGACAGTGCTGCTTCTGTCTATGACGAAAGCTAAATTCACCAGTGAGAGGGGAGTTCTGTTTGAAGTCTGTCTCCTTTTGTACAAATGAATTAAAGCAAAACATGAATCATGTGATAGTCTCCAAATTTTCCACCAGAACTTGACTAGGCTCATAGATCATGTATGAAGATCAACCCAATATGAAATTTAATTTAAACCCAATATGAAATTTAAACCCAATTTCATTTTTTTTCCCTTGTAGTTGGATGCCTTTTCTTGCCCTCAAAAAACAGCAGATTTAAAAGAAGCACAAGAACTACAGAAACAAGCCCAAGAACAAATAGGTTAGTTACAATATTACATTATTAGAATATTGCATCTTAAACAAGCCCTGTTAACAAAAGGGACTCCAGTTAACCAATTAAATGTCAAAATAATTTATATAGAAATAAAATAGTCCAATTAGTTTGTCTGATTGCTTCATATTCATATGTAAAGCCTACATCACAACCCCCATAAGTGCTACTACTGACAGTCTACACGAGAAACCACTTGCGTGTGCTCGGCACCATAGAAGATCTCGGACTGGTTTTAGAGACTATTGGTCATGTACATACAAAATTTTCACTTGGTTTCTTGCGGCTGGTCTGTAAGCTACCAATCACTACATCCTGTGTGTGTCAAAACACGTACGAGGGGTTGTGAGCTAGGCCTAAGGGGGAATAATCTGTTACATTGTACAAGTAAGAATAGTAACAATAAACGATTGATAAATAAATAAAAACTTATTCCATTCCAATTAATTCCCAAAAGTCTATTACTTCACAGAAATATTCCTCGATCAGCAATTTATTTTGATATTCCTGTTTTCAGTTGAGCTCCAAAAACAGAAAACGGAACTAGAGGAGAAATTATCAGAAATAACAAAACAACACGAAGAAACTTTATCTGAGTTAACGAAATTACAAAATGAAATGGTGTCTGAGAAGGAAACGCATGAAACAACAGTCAAAGAACTGAAAGAGCAGCATGAAAAATCTATGGCATTACAAAAAGAAAAGGTGGAAACGGAAAATGCAAAAGAAAATGCCAAATGTACGTAATTGTTTTCTCAATTAATAATAAGGGATGTTATAGGTGAACAGTAAGGGCCACTGGATTCTCGATCAAGATATCCTGGGTTCGGATTCCAGCAGTCAGGAACTTTAACTTAAGGCTTTCATGAGATTGGGATGGCCCAGTGCTGTAGAGTTTCGCGCTTCGAACTGTAGCTGGTCGATCACTTCTGGCTTGCGGTCATGGTTTCTATCCCTATTGTGGTTTCTATCCCTAAGGCTTTCATGAGATTGGGATGGCCCAGTGCTGTAGAGTTTCGCGCTTCGAACTGTAGCTGGTCGATCACTTCTGGCTTGTGGTCATGGTTTCTATCCCTATTGTGTCTTCTCAACATCGTGAGTTTACTCTGGATGCTCTGGTTTCCTCCCACAGGAACAATCCCTACACATGCACTAAGCATAATAAACACTATTAGAAGAAGAAGAATAAACAAAACTAAGGGGATGGAGAAGACAACTTGCTCTTCTGGAAGTTTCCTAGGTAACAATTGTCTGCGATATCATCCTCTGTGGAAGCAAATGTTAAGCCCAAACTCATTATTAAACAAATATATAAACACCCTATTTTATTTCAAGTCGAAGTAATATTTTTGTAATAATTTCAGTGAAAGAAAACCATGAAAAAATGCATCATTTTATGAAAGTTCAAAGTGAAAGAGAGGTAAATATTTTTGTAATTGTTTTATAATCAATAGTCTTCATAATGTGCCTTATTAACATCCCTACTGCTACCAGAAAATTTAAAAACAACATAAGTTACATGTTCAGACTTTGGAGTTTGATATTACTTAATGACCAAACAATCTATTTACATGACCTTGAGAGAGATCATTAAAGGCATTGATCCCCTGTCATTTGAAGGATTTTGAATCTCTTGCAAACTACAATATTGGGAAAGATGGATATTAGAATTAAAAAATTTGTCAAAATTCGGCATTCCCACAAAGATGACATAAGTGAACCAACATCACCTATACATGTTTTTAAAAAAATCTTTCGATGGGGCTTCTTTTTATCCAGTTGAATCCAATGCGGGAATTTATCTTCTGTTGATATTTTGTTTTTGTTTTCTTAATGAAATAGTCAGTCTGAGTACACTTATAGATTATACCGAGAAATGGCATTAAAAACTAGATTATTGATAACAATGACAAAGAGTGGTTATACAAAATATGATAATAAATTTGATTTTTGTTCAGATTGCTGATATGAAGTTTGAATCACAGAGTAGATTGGATATGTTACGTGTAAAACATCTGGAAGAAATCCAAGAATTAAGAAATAAGCATGACATACAAATGGAAGGTTAGTAGATCCGTTATATTTATATAGATAAAGGGCTGGTTCAGTTGCATGTATATAAAGGGCTGGGTCCGTTACATCTGTAGTTCGCTATAGGAAAGGGCTGGGTCTGTTACACATATAAAGATTATGTTTGTTGTGGGTTTGCTATAGGCTGCAGGTCTGTCACATCTATATAGATAAGGTTTGTGGATTCGCTATAGGAAAGGACTGGGACTGTCACATCTATATAGATAAGGTTTGTGGGTTCGCTATAGGAAAGGACTGGGACTGTCACATCTATATAGATAAGGAGGTTTGTGGGTTTGCTATAGGAAAGGGCTGGGACTGTCACATCTATATAGATAGGGAGGTTTGTGGATTTGCTATAGGAAAGGGTTGGGACTGTCACATCTATATAGATAAGGCTGTTTGTGCGTTTGTTATAGGAAAGGGCTGGGACTGTCACATTTATATAGATATGGTTTGTTCGTGGGTCTGACATAGGAAAGCAAATGGTTGAATTTATAAATTTTGTATTTGGTACAGTATTTAATGGTGGAATTTACAATTGATGCTTGTTGTGTTATTAAGGATCGTCTGAGGAAACATTTCAGAAATATTGTACATTTCTTGGCGTTTTGTTTACTTAAAATCAAAACTTTACAAGATACCTACTTGCACAGGACCGGGTAACTACCGGTAATCTAATTGGTCAATATAAACAGAGCCAAGTTATATTGACGTAAATTATGCCATAGTAGTTCAACTAAAGACAGTAGATGGCCTGATTATTATTCCTGTTCACGGTTGTGATCCATGGTATATTATGCGGCAACCTTTGTGGATAGCTAGGACGACTTAATTAGCAGCTGTGGGTGTATGTTTCCATGCCTGGCAACCTATCTTTATTTGGAAAGTTGATATAGCTAACAATTTGTATACACATGAGATTTTCCTTCAAATGGAAACTTGAGTCAATAACCATTTTTAACAAAGGGCTAATGGAGAATAATTAGTCGAGACATAGGATATCTTAGCCTTAAATTAAAGGAGTGATATTCTACTGAATGGTTTGGTCTATTTAATAAAGATATTTGATAACAGGTAGGGGCTATGTAATATAATATTATAGACTAGGGAATATTGTAAGTTACACTATAGGTAGTCACCTATAAAACCATTAGTTGACAATGTAATACAAGGTACAATAGGTGTTCTTTATTGGTAGAGTTCATAGGTGATAGGATATTGTAAAGGTATATTGAGTCTATATGTCAAAGGTCATTGGATATTGTAAATGAATAGATGTTTCAATAGCACAATTAGCATAGTCTTCAGTATGTGTAAATACTTCATTTTGTTATTAAAGAGGCTGTGACGCTCCAAGATCAGAACATTTATCTGTTGAAAAAAAACTAAATGCATTTCATGTATCAGGCCCAGGACTGTTCTACGCAGTAGACATTTACTTCTGGCCTCTGGATCCATTCAATTGTTTTGATATTTTTATACGTCCATCGCCCCTGTCTGTCCATCCGTCCACAATTTGTTTTTGGACACTGTACAGGTCACAATTTTTATCCAATTTTGACGAAACTTGAAATATAGGTCTATCTCCAAAGATCTTGGTTCCTTATGATATTGGCATGTATTGGACTATAACTTTATGGATCATGGCCACCGATTGTTCGAAAAATCACATTTTAGCTTGTGGGCACTCTAGAGATAACAATTTTCTTCTGATTTTAATGAAACTAGAAATGTATGTTTATAACCAAGGGATCTTGGTTCCTATCGTAGCTTCCTGAATTATGGCCCCTGATTGTACGAAAATCATGTTTTTTGGCTTGTGGTCCCTCTAGAGGTCACAACTATTATCCAATGTAAAAAAAACGTTCGAATATATCACTGTTACACCGTAATCATGATTGAGTTCAAATTTCGTGAAAATCGGACCAAAACTGTTGGACAAAATGGCCACTCTTCGTACGCAAATAGTCTAAAAATATGGTATATCAAGGTTGTGGACCCTCTAGAGGTCACAGCTATGATCCGATTTTGATAAAACTTTAAATACAAGATCTTGTTTCCTTTCGATATTCGCGCTTATCGAATTGAACTATCTGAATTATGGCTCCTGATTGTACGAAAAATCACATTTTTAGCTTGTGGTTCCTCAAGAGATTACAATTATTATCCGATTTAAAAAAAACGTTTGAATATATCACTGTTACACCGTAATGTCGGTTGGGTTCGAATTTTCATGAAAATCGAACTGAAACCGATGGCCGATCCTTGTAGGCAAATAGTGTAAAAGTATGTACGTAATACCAAGGTTGTGGACCCTTTATCCGATTTTGATGAAACTTAAAATATATCTTTATAACATTGATATTACGGACTCACAGATAATTAGATGAAAATATGGATATCCATAATCATTAGGAGAAAAAATATAAATAGAGATTTAGTTTTAAATAAAATTAGGTGAGAGTGCCCCTTTAAATTTGTGTAGACAATGAAATACCTACTATGTAGTAGTCAATCATCTAAAACCCCTGTATGTGGAAGTTTGTAGTAGTGATAGGGATTGTAGACCTACATGTAACATCATGCACTGTGAATATTTTAATAACTAATTTACTGGGTTTGTAGGCAAGTTTGATCCTACTCGACATGTAACACAATAATTAGCGGTTTTTGATGTCGTTGTTAGGATGCAATATTTGCATTAAGATTCAACTTTTATTGGAGATAAAAATTAGAAATTCAGAATAAGTGCATCAATTTACAGATAATACTATAAACATTTAGCTGTGGTTTAGTTGTAGCACATTCTAATGCTATGTTACCTGATGTTGGAATTATTAACAGTTCATATATTTTCTGTTTATGACAATCCAAGGAATTGCTTAAAAGGACTTGTTATTTTGCAAATTTAGTTTTATGTGTGTTGATAGAGGAATTAGAACAATCATTTTAACCCAACAGTTGAATATTTTACTTACAACATTTCAAAGATCTTTTTGAGAAGATAGTCAACAATTTGTGTTTGAATATGAACCCTCTTCAGCCTCTGACCTTGCTGTGATTGTTTGAATTATGAACCCTCTTTCAGCCTCTGACATTGGTGTGATTGTTTGCTCTCCCCCTTGTCAACTTGTGAATTCATTTAGAGTGTAGTTTGCTACTCACAAATACAAAATGGGCATAATCTGTAGCGTGGAAAAATACACATAACAAATATTTTCTTAAAAAGGAACAAAATTATTTATTCTAAGATAATTTGTTGGTGGTTTCTACTGCAGTATTTCATAAATATTTATGTAACTTTAATATAATTGTGTTCATCAACTGTGTTCATCAGTAAAATCGTTTTGGTGTTTTCTTCAGTGTATTCATAAGGCTTTATGTAACTTAAATACAGTTATGCTCCTCAATCATAGTAAAATCATTTTGATTGCTTTCTTGGGTATTTTCATAGAGATTTGTGTGACATCATTATCATTGTGTTCCTCAATCGTAGTAAAATTGATTTGATGTAACTTCCAAGTACAGTCTGTGATACATGTTCCTGTCTTTATGAACCCTGTCAATACCGAACCTTAAACGTTTTGTATTTGATCAGTGAGGAATAAAACTGGTCTATTCAGAATATTTCATTGCACAGAAAAATATCCATGGATAGTAGTTACATGTAAATATAGAAATTATGTAAAATACAGAAAAGAGTGCTTAAAGAATGAAATTTGTATCGAATTTGTTAAAAATGTCATCGAAACGAGAAACAGTTAGTTATAGAAATATCTTATCTAATGTTAGAGGTAAAAATATATTTAAAGATGCATTATCACATTATGTAAGATTTAGATAAAGAATTGTCCGTTCTTGCTATAATACTTTAAAGATGCATTATGTAAGATTTAGATACAGTGCTGGCCGTTCTTGCTATATTATTTAAAGATGCATTATGTAAGACGTAGATAAAGAGCTGGCCATTCTTGCTATAATATTTAAAGATGCATTATGTAAGACTTAAATAAAGAGCTGGCCGTTCTGGAGCTGGAAGTTATTGATGTTTGAAGGTTTGACAAGATAGTCTTGATTGCCAACAACCATTGCTGCAACAATAAGCTAAAGTCTTGATTATCTATGTTAAACTTAAATTATTAAATGACGTGATTCTTTTAATCCATTCAATATCACTGCCATACGGTGGTTGATTATGGGCTTATGTGAATAAATGCCTCATTAATAATTTATTTATTAATTGAAGCTAAAAAAAAATACCTGCAATAGGCAGATCTAGCTCTTACATAATCCATCTTTGAATTCTGTTCTATTTGATATTTTGGATCATTTGGTCTAATGTATTTTTCCCATACAATTTTTGGATACATGATAGAGAATATGAACAATGCATCTTTGTTGTAGTTATGAATAAAATAGTAACTGATATAACTATAAAAACATTAAATTACTTGTGCATTAGATCAGGCATACAAAGGCATCTTTATATATTGAAATTTAACATTGTTACAGACAAGCTTAACAAAGAAATTCTGTGAAATTTGAACAATTTCTAATAATTAATTATAGAGTTATAACCCTTGATAATAATAATATTTTGATATTATTAACCCTAAATCAATGTTTACGATGTAAGGATTATTTCTGTGTGTCTTTATTAGTTTTCATTTAAGGTGATTTTCCGAAAAAAACAATTCCTATGTTTCTAAAAAAAAAAACAAGTTTCAAGAAATTAACTTTTATTTCATATAATACAATGAACTCTCGGAAGGACCTTATTTTAAATAACTGTGCTCATTCAATGTCTTTTGGGCTATTTAATGTTCATGTGTGTTTTCAAACATTCATGTATGGTACATTTTTCTTTTCGCAGTACATTTAAATTTATTTGCATTTTTTGTTTTAGAACTCCACAAACAACACCGAGATAAGTTAGAAGATATAACACACAGATTTGAATGTATTAAATGTTCTCTTGGGGTAAGTTATTCTAATGAAACGTTGACTAAAAATGTTCTCTGTTATTAATGATTGTAAGTTTATAGTGTTACTCCGAAATTATTCCAGTCTTGAAAGTCATGATTTTATTCATCTTTATTCTATTCAGAATTAACCTCTCATGTCTAAAATATATGGGGACCCATGATGGCTCAGTCAGTAAGATGTTGGCTCACTCTCATGAAGGCCCTGTGTTCAATCCTAATGTTTGTCGAGAAAGTTCATCAGGACTTTTCGGTGTGGTTTCCCCTTGTGAGTGGTGCAGGATGGCGGGCCTGGCAAGAGACAATGTGCACGTTAAAGAACCCTTGACAGTTGGACTTTGATATAGCAGTAGTCCACAGTGCCTCTGTCTGGGCAAATATCTCTCACAGCTCACTGCATGGCGAATGCCCGCTCATTAGCCCATAATTCCAAGCAAAAGATTCAAATAACTAATAAAAGGGAGGAAACTCTTCCATGACAGGAGGTCATTGGCACACAATGTCTGGAGGATAATGTTGAGATATAATTACTATATGACATTATCCTAGTGGCACTAAATACAGAGTTTGAATTTGATATAGCAGTAGGCCACAGTGCCTTTGTCTAGGCAAATGTCTCCCAGCTCACTGTATGGCGAATGCTCGTTTCATTAGCCCAGTCGATGCAGAACAGTAGAACATTAAACCCCATTTCATTTCTAAAATATATGGTTTCCAAATTGTTAGATTGATCATGAGGTGATTTGATGGTTTAGATATTTTTCCAATCCTTTTCCATATTATTTTCTACAGGATAAAGTCGAGACGTTAAGAAGAGAATGCGATGAGTTAAAATATCGAGCGAAACAAAGTGAGGAAGCTTTGTTCAGAGACACAGATGTGAAAGTTCAGGTAAGACATTTGTCATCATTAGTAAATGTAGGAAGGAAGGACCTGACAAGGAACAGAGTCAAGTCATTTGGTTGGATCGAAATTCCCTTATAATATAATCTAAACTGAAAATTCTATCCATCAAAAACTTTAGTAGCGTTAGATATACCCTTTATCATGAGCAATGTTGAGGTTTGCTTCCACCCTTTATCATGAGAAATGTCAGAGTTTGCTTCCACATACCCTTCATAAAGCAGCAAACTTTTGTTTTAAAGGCAAAATCCCCTAAAATGTCTGATTGTAGTAATAGTTTTGTTTGTTTAAAGATGGCGTTAGCACCCTATAGACATTTGCCTGAGGAAGTGGAAAGTTTGAAAACAGTTGTAGAAATGAGAAATGAAGAGATCATGAAGCTGAGAAAAGTTAACATGGACTTAGAAAAACAGGTGAGATTTTTAAATAAATATCTAAACAGTGATTGTGGACAAAATGGACATGAAGCTCAGATGGCAATGCAAACAAGAGTGTGTAATGTTTATGGACGCCATCTACTCGGCAATCCAGATTAGGCATTGCCCTATTTGTACCCAGATGCCTTCTTTATTGTTTATTGGACAAGGCAAGTTTGCGCCTTAAAGTAAAATAGTGTCGGTAAATCTTCTTAATCGCCCCTCTATCTCCAACTTACACTAGAAGAGACCATCCCTTACGACTGGCTATTCATGCAAGTTTCTTGTCTACAATATAACCTTAGCTGGAAACGCATTCTTATCCTGCTAAACATTGTGGGGGGGGGGGGGGCGATCTCATTGTTTAAGTTGTGCGCACGAAACTAGTAGATCTGTCATTCTGTCATGGTTTCGATTTGTGTGCACATTAGATCAGCAGCACTGTTATGGAGTCAAGTGACATGGTTGTCAAGTTGTACATGACAATTGGGTTCTGTCGTCTGTCCACCGTCATCGGTTTTTTCCGTGTCCTCCGGTTTGCTCTTACTGCTTATTAAGACCCCTGGGCGAAAACACATTATTGAAATAAAATTGAAACGTGTTAGTCCCAAAATGACCCAGTTTGTGTCAAGTGGATGTTAAACCCCATTTCTCTCTCTTTAAACATTTATAGACACACTGCTCCTCCCCACCTTCCTAAAAGATTAAGATATTTATGGACATTCTGGCACAAGTGTAATCCCCACCCTCCTAAAAGATTTAGATATTATGGCCATTCAGGCACAAGTGTAATCCCAATAGTTTTATTTGTTGTTTCTTTTTTTCAGTTGGATGAACTGCCAATTGCTCGAGAGAAGATTATCTCCCTTCAACAGAAGATTGAGAATTTGGATGCCATTGTTAACATCAAGAGTGGACATGAAAAGTAAGATTTCATTAAGTTGTTGGATAACTATTCTGAGCATCCAATGCTTAAAAAGGGGGGAATTGGGTGGTTGAATGGTGTAATGCTTGCATGTTAGATTGGGTTTACCTTCCACTTTTAAATACAGCTATGTGCATGAGACTTACTGAAATAAAATTGAACCATATGTTTGTCTCGAAATGACCTAGTTTGTGTAGAGTGGATGTTAAAACCCATTTCTCTGTTCAATGATTAAATCTTTGAGATAACTTGTAATTCAGTGGGGATTTCTTCTAATGCTAGGTTTCCACTGTCATGTGATGCGTTACGATAGGATTGTCCCTACTGAGTCCACGATCTGGTATGCGCAGAAGCGTTGGGATACGTTTCAATATGATCAATACGATTGCTACGACTGACCACAATATATGATAGGACCTGATAGGATAACTATGATTACTCCATGATTAAAACCATGATTTCAATCATAACGTGAATCTTGATAGTGGGATCCTAACTTAATCATACATTATGGAAGAGCTAAATCTGCCTATTGCAGGTCTTTCTTTAGGCCTGAAATGTTTTCTAAATTATTAATTAGACATTAATTAACTTATCCAGACCATAATCAACTCTCAATGGCATTGCTAGCCTGTGATGTTTATTGGATTAGGTTCTGATTTGCTGTTCAACTTCCATTCTAATTTAATCATGAAATAGACTATGTTTTTTATCATACTGACTTTAGTAATGATGATCGAGGTTAGGCCAAGAATTCAATTGCTAAAATCTTGGTTCAGAGTGGACCAATTTGACTGAATTTTTTAGCAAATTCCCTTTACATTATTTAGTTTTTAACTATTATATTGAGAACTGTTAGCTCTTTATTTAATCTCCCATAATGTATCTTTAAGCTTCATGAATGTTTTAGAAATTGAACCACAGACCCCCTGGTTAGAGAGTCGGCACCCTGCTCACTGAGCTGCCGAGGTTCTTTCGGGGAATTTGGAAGTGCAAATGATATTTCCTGATGCATATGATTTTATCTTTTACTAATATTTCATTTTTGTTTCTTCCTTAGACAACTCCATGACAAGGTTCAGATTCTGATGACAAAATATGCGAAGGAATCCAAAGCTAACAAGCGATTGTCGATGGATTACGAGGAATTGATGTACAAATTGGCAGCATCACCGGACGTGATGACCGCAAGTCAAGAAAGTTTGTTTAAACGTCAGATAAGTCGATCTCCTCCCGGCAGTGAATGTAGTTCTCCAGATTTACGTCGAAAAACGCGATCACCTTTTGACAATGATGACCAATCACCAAGCAGGCGATCAGGAAGGGCAAATGGTGACAGGAAGTCTGCTACAGATGACACTTTGGAACGTAAAATTAATCGACGTTCGCAAACTTTTGTGGTCGATAAGAAAAACTCAAACTCATCAAGTCCTAATAGACATTTATCTCCCAATAAAAACGGACAAGATTCTCCAATGTCAAGGTCATTGGAATTATCGGATGGGAATCAATCGCAGTTGTCTGGTGTTGGGTCGGAGTTACCTCCCTCAGACAGTACAGATAATGAACTGTCTGTGTCTTTAAATGAACTTGGTGTCGCAGCGTTAGAAGACTCACTTGTGTCCATTAATTCAAACTCACCCTGTTTATCGGACTCAGAAGTATTCGAAAGTCCGCAAAAACAAAAACGAAACATTGTAGAAGAAGATGACGGGGCTGTGAAAGTAGAAACAGATGTGTAATTTATTTCCCCCAAAGATTGTTTAGTTGTAGCTTGATAACTCGGACACTAGGACAGTAAAAGAGCAGTCTGAAACAAGAGAAACAAATTTGTAAATTTCTTTATAAAATGTCTCCACCTATAGTTACAATTTGTGTAAAAAAAAACGAAAAAAACCCCAACACACTGAATATTTCGAAGGAGAAATAGTTATGAATGTGTTACCTTGAGAATGATTTAATTCTAGATACAAACAGTGCTGACTCTTAGAGTGTTAATAATGTCTAGATTAAGACTGGGCTGACTCCAGGGTGTTAATAATGCAAATAGACAATCATTTAAAGTGGAATTTATCTATACACCTGTGAGTTTCTACATAAAGTTATGTAGAACAAAAGAAAAAAGCATGGTATTTTGAGGATAGATCTATTTATACAGATGACAGTTTTAAATTGCTGTCCATTCCTATTTATACTAGTGACTGATATTATGATGTTTAAATGATAGATATATATTGAAGTAGTGAATTTTGAATATAGTGTAAATTGATTAAGATTGTATATGACATCAATAATCAATCAGATTTCATATGAAATCAATCAATCACTGTAAATTAATCAATAATCAATAAGTCAGAATTTGTTCCGCAGGAAGCATTTATTTCAGCTGGTCAAAGTAGAGAGTTTATTTAATTTTAATAATTTAATAATGATTAGTCTAGATATGTATTATATAAGACAGAGATTCTGCCATGGAATATATTGGCCTTTAGAAAACATGTAGATAAAAATGTTTTTAAGTAAAAATATAATGACCGCCACTATCATTTATTTCTTACGATACATTATGTAAGAGCTAAATCTTTATTAGTCTTGTTTGTCCAGTACCATTGCTACAATAATTAACAATCAACGCAACATCTTCCAACACTCATAACTTGGCTCAAAATGAAATAATTTGAATGAAATTTTCAATATATTCATTTTTCATTATCTATTTTTAAACTACTATACAGACAATTGTTAGCTTTTTATCTAAATCTTACATAATGCAATTATTAAGACAGTGAAATGTTCAGATTACAAGGGAGAATGTTAGTAGGCCTACTTAATTGTACTGTCTGTATCTCACCTGATTTCTGATCCTTGTGAATTAAATTTACTGTAATTGTGCAGATCACCAACAAACATGTTGACCTATTTCGATACCAGTACTTAATTGTACTATCAAATGATTTCTGATCCATGGACAATTTGTTGGTTAATTTACTTTATCTGTCTCTGTCATTTCAAGATTATTTGTTACCGAAATCCATTTATGTTAGTGTAGGAAGTTTATTAAAATAGTTCTGACTCTTGAGAATATAATATGTCTCATAGTTCTGACTTATGGGAATATATGTCTCATAGTTCTGACTTTTGAGAATGTATGTCTCATAGTTCTGACTTTTAAGAATATACGTCTCATATCATATGTTTATTGTGTAATCTTGTTATTGTTACAAGATGTTGGGGGCTCAAGTGCTCTTAAAGCTGAACTCCGATTACAAAACTACAGAAATAATTAAATAAAAAAAAGGTCAGTTTTGGTCTCCACGGAAACATACAATGTTCAACGCAACTGTGGTAATATATGGCAATATATCCCCAGTAAAATTTTAAGAACCAGTGAAATCTTTTTGGTTTTTTTTTTTAAAAAAAAATCTAATTTATAAATGTATACATATTCATTAATTACTAGATGTAATATATATAAATTTGTTTCAAGACACACTTTGACAGTTATTAGACATATCATTTATTGTTTAATTATTTTGAATATTTAGTTTGTTAAGAATTATAAAGCAAAGTCTAAGGGTTCTTCAAGGCAAGGCTCTCATTTTGTTCCTGCATACAGATTCTGTCAGGTAGTATTGAATGTGTCAAATAGTAGCGTATGAAGACGTTGAAGACCTGTTGTTTAAAATGTGCATCAAATATTTTAGTAAACAATCGGATATTAAAACCTGTCCAAATTTTGTTAACAGAAATACTGTACATTAGAAAAATGCTGGCAACTGTTTTGTTGTGTCATTATGAGTCATGTATAAATTTCTACTGTAAATATAAAATAATTATGTGATTAGTTGATTTGATATTTAAGGCAGCATATATGATTTAGTTATTTTTCTTTGCACTGTACAGTTATTCTGTCTTTATGTAGAGTGGATGTTAAACCCTCTCTCTCTCTCTCTCTCTCTCTCAACAAGTACTCGCGTACAATGGACCAGGAACAGAGCACCATTATCGCGGACATTATGGAATTATGAAGACGGAGCCTCAGACTTTTTCGAATAGTTTAGCTGGCAAGATGAAGAACATCACGAGTAGGACTCTGAATCCAGTTCCTGGTACAGAAATATAGGCCTACATTGTTGTAGTCTAGACAACCTGAAGAAGAATAATTTGGTTGTTATAATATTATAAAGAACTTTATCTTTATTACAAAATAATAATTCAACGGTTGCTGTAATACAGAACTTTTTCTATTTACAAAAGAATAGATTTTCTCATTTTTCTCCCCCTGTAGTCGCTAGTTGAAATGTGAGAAGAAAAAGGTGACATTTTGTAATTTCTATTTTACCTTTGATTTCATTGTTTTGTTGAAGTTTAAATAGTGTCAATCGTATTAAATCGTGATCTTGTTGCAGACTAGTATTTTTGTTATACTTTGATGAGTTCCTGTGAAACTACAATGGCATTGTGGGGAAGAATCCTGTGTCGACTGGGCCAAATAAATAATGTGACGCTATTGCTCTGTTGGAGTGGTTTGTCTGGTTATCCATTGATGGTATGGATTACAATACAATTAATGTAAAAACAAATGTTGTGAGATTAGCCATCCTTATTCACTCTCTCTAGTCTCTAAGTCAAAGATTACATGTCAGATAATTCCAAGCAAAAGTTTGATCCCTGCCCTGCATTGGCTAAGAAAGTTTAATCCAGATTTTCCGATGTGGTTCCCCCATGTCAGTGATGCAGGACGGAGGGCCTGACAAGGACAGCTGTCTAGTCGTTCGGAAGTGACGAAAATAAGAGGTTCCATGTACATATTGGTATGCACGTAACTGATCCCTTAAGACAGTTGGAATTCGATATAAGGCACGTAGGCCGTAGTGCCACTGTCCGGGCAAAATTTCACTCATAGCACAGTGTATGGTGTATGCCCGTCTTCATTAAACCAATAGGAGCAGAACAGTAGGACATTAAACTCCATTTCATTTCCAAGCAAAAGACTCAATTTAAATAATTAATAAAGGGGAGTAAACTCTTCCATGACAGGAGGTCAATGGCACACAATGGCTGGGGGATGATGTTGAGATATAATTACTACATGACATTATCCTAGTGACACTAGATGACAAAACAGATTCAGACGATGATTTACAATTAACTAAAATACACTGTTTTCTACCCACAAGATAGCTTTCTAAAAGATTTAATAAAGAGCCACAAATACCGAATTTAAAATGAAGTCTACGTAGAAATATATATAAATATATATGAAAAATATTTGAATTTTGCAAAATAAAAACATGGTAAGTCAGACAGCATACAACTGTAGACAGAAACTAGGCACAGACACATAGAAAGACTCAACCTAAATAAAGAACAACGGTGAATACTCAATTGGGATCATGTGGTTTTTCGCGGCACACTAAAGAAGATCTCGTGGCACATTTGTGTGCCGATTCACACTGGTTGAGAAATGAAATGAAATGAAATAGGGTTTAACGTCCCACTGTTCTGCTCCTATACTGGGCTAATGAAGACGGGCATACGCCATACAGTGTGCTATGAGGGAAATTTTGCCCGGGCAGCGGCACTATCGCCCACTCTTATATCGAATTCCAACTGCCAATAGGGCACTGGTTGAGAATCACTGCTGTAGCCCAATTTAAAAACCCATACGCGGTATATGGAATATTGGGTAGATATGAAACTACCGTGGCAGGTAAAAACTTGATTCACTTTGAACCAAGATTTTAGCGATTCAATTTTCGGCCTAGCCTCGATCATCATTACTAAAGTCGATACTATAAAAAACAGTCTCGATTATCCATTTCATAATTAAATCATGAATGAATGTTAAGCAGCAAGTCGGATCCTAATTGAGTAAATATTGCAGGCTGGCGTTGACATCGTGAGTTGATTATGGTCTGGATAAGTTAAATTTAATAATTAATGCCTAATTACTAATTTAGATAACATATCAGGCCTAAAGAAAGACCTGCAATAGGCAGATTTAGATCTTGCCTAATGTATGTTTAATATCCGATTGACTTTAAATTTCTTGTGAACGCTCTCCTGGAGGCAAAAGTATATCCGATTGACTTTGGATTGATACACAGAGTTTAAGGTCTTGAGACGAATAAGTATATTGATTTTCAAGGATTTTTGATAACTTGAACAGCTAAATCCATGATATTAAATGTTGTTTATTCTAAACGTTAGCATGGTGCAGAACTCGAAGCCAAACAAATTTTAATGATTTATCTGATAATTACTTAATGAGTTGTTACTCTTAAAGATACATTATGGGAGATTAGATAAAGAGCTGGCAGTTCTCACTATAATAGTTAAAAACTAATAATGAAATAATTGTATTTTGTCGACTTGTCGGGTTGAGAATAAGTCGAAGGCGATTTTGTCGACTTTTCGCCTTCACAAGCCGACAAGTCGTTTCATCTTATATAAGCACAGATAAAGTGAACAGTATTGAAATTTCACCAAATTTTGTCAAAAGATCAGGAATATGCATTTCGATGTAGAAATTAATATTTTCATGACTACTAAAATGAGTCAAAATGTCCAAAAATGCCCATATTTTCTTTGCTAATATAACTTAGATGGGATCTTCATGTTTGTCAGGTTTAAAAATAGCTCCAGCTTTCCTACAGAAAATTGAAAATTGGTAACACTGAGTTAATAATGTACAGCAGATGGGTTTGTACAAAATGTTCAAAACAGGGGTTGGCTCAATTTTGCCACTATTTTACCCAGAATAAGCATTTTTTTCTTCTTTGAAACATTAAATTCTTGCATTTCCTTCATGTAGGAAGCAATATCCCAGCCTTTCTAGACATTTTTTACTCCATCATTCTGTTTAGAGAGGCAATAAATGCCCCACCCCACCCTTTTCTATTAATGTGTTTTGAGGGATTTAAATGCACCTGTGTTGACATGTAAATGATCTTAATTGGAATTTGTGGTTGAATTACAGCTAAGAATGTTATTTTTCACCCAAAAATATTTTTTTTGTGCATTTCAAGGATTTCTAACCCTTATTTGTTCAGAGTCAAACGTAGAACCCTGGGGCATTTCAGGCCAATGAGACCAGACCCAGATATAAAACTGGTGTAGATGTGTAAATGTCAGTTTAATGTTCAATATTTTCTTATCAAAATCCAGCATTTGTGGTGTTTGCTGCATTTATGTTGCCTATAAAACAATAAAATGTTAATTTTTCTCCTTTTCAGGCCTCTTTTTATGTTGTCAACTCTGTCATGACTACTTTTTTGACTTCTTTTTTCAGGAAATTAATGTAAAGTTCCAGACATCTTGCTTCAGCACAAGGATTGCAATACAAATTTGTAATATGCCTCTGAGGTTTGAGATGTTGGAAACATTGAAATATTCCTAAATTTGTGAAAATTGTGTATTCTGTGACCCTTCTGTTAGAGAGGGGTGATCATAGACCAAATATGGCATTTTTTTCATTCATCAAGGCCTATTTTTAACCATAATTCATATTTATTGCACCTATTTTAGTTTATATGTGCATATGTAAGCCATGGATGGTAAAACATAGCTGTTAGACATATTACTTTGGTAATGTAAGTTCTGCAACCATAGATTAGATTAATTCAATCAGTGGCATGTTCAGGGGGTAGGCATACATGTTTCAGTATAGATCTCTAATATTACAATCATTGCAACTGGTTTGCATTTTTTCTGTTTGCATATTGTCCACAGATTCTAAAAATATATTTCTTGTCCGTCCGGATATTTAAAAAAGGGGAAAATTATTGGTATTTTGAGAGATGCTACATGTAAATTTTGTACATTTTTCATCACATGGCAGTAAAAAATTATATTTTTGAAAAAAATTCCAAATTATGAGTGTTTTCTATGTAGTTTCTTTGTAACTTGTCTAAAATTTTTCACAGAACTCAGATACTGCCTTTAATAAGAAGGATTTTTAAATTTTAGCACAAAAGGCCTATGGACCTGAGATGCACCAGTGTACATAAAGCAGCATGTGTACTTAAAGGGCCATCATTTTTACAGTTATTCTTTGATTTTGATTTTCTTTCACCGGCATGGCGATTTTTGTTGACTTTTTGGTGAATATTCATAATTTTGATGCGGAAGGATACAAGAGTTGAGAGGTTGGTTAGGTTGAAATGTAGGGCCTGAAATTGCATGTTTACTCGTCTCTACTTCCAGCTTGTGTATCTCAAGTTTTTCATGAAGAACCTCATACGTGCTTTTGGGCAAGTGGTTGCCACATGTTGCTCCATCTGTGGTAGAAAGCGTTCTACCCAACGAAAATTTGGGAAAAAGTTAGAGCCGGTCTAAGATACGAGAATTAACATTGGAGTCAATGGGGAAATCTTTAGTGATCTGTGTCCACATGTATCTAAGTTTCATATTATTTAATGCACATGTGCAACTAATAGTTCCTTACTTTATTTCCATATATATTTCCATATATGTATGGTAAGGAGTTTAATTCTTTTTGTAAGAAGAAAGGGGTGTAGTAGTGTGTGTGCCAATAAATACCCTTAGTTATAATTATGACGATGAATGATCCCCTATAGGAAGTTGAATAAACAAGTTGAATGAAGTCCGGCTATTTTGTTGATTAAATCCAAGCCATCCTGTCTCGGGTCAAATCCGATATATACAGTGATCAGATAACATCTCATCTTCACAAACCTCAGTATCCGATTCAGCTTTCTGAGTGTTGTTAATCACATGATTCGGGACTGTGCTATTTATTTCAAAATGGTTGTCAATAAACATTTTAGCACTTCGTTTTATATGACGTTTATTACAGAGTCCTTGTCCAGTGAGTTATTTATAGGGTCCATTCTCCGACTGAAAAACAGTGCAGTTTATCGTTTCAAAGTCTTGATGCTCCACATCAAATTTGAAAAATTAAAACTGTAGTCTATATCGCGTTCACAATGTTTTCGGAAAAGGGGCTATAACTGCGAGACGGAAGCTCGCATAATGCAATAAATGGATAAGGTTCCTCCTCTCATGAACCCTGGAAGGTTGGGAGACCAAATGACATCGCCTGTTTAAGGTTATATTCGTGAAGCACGGTTTCCGAAGATGTGGGTTTGAATGGGGAACATATTTGACAGTCTGAAACACAATTTCTTGCACTCTTGTCTGAAGTTGATATATTCTATATTTAGTTACTCTCACAATCTTTATCATCCCTACGTGGCAAGGAGTGATTATCGAATTATCGAAAATCAATAAAGATAAAAAAAAACATGAATCAAAAGATTTCTTCGTCTTATAAACATAATTTTAGCCACTAATGTGTGAACAAGAGATGTCAATCTTTGAAATAAATATAGGACTCTTCGTCTTACCGAGGGCTACCGAATATTTGTATACTAAAATTAACAT